AAAACATAATACTCAACGAGCATGCATTTGTTAACTTATATTCGTTAACCTCCAAACCACCGAGCAGCACTAAATTGTTATGTTGTTCTTTTTTAATGTTTTTTTTTTTTTTTTTACAAAGAGAAATGATTGCCTACATCAGAAAGAGACACGCTACATTCTCTGGTCCTGTCATGAGAAGGGGAAAACTGGAGTACATCGTGTCAGTCGGAAAGCTGGAGGAGATGAGAGGCAGAGGAAGACCGAGAGAGAAAAATGCTGGACAGCTTGATATCATGGCATGGAAGATCATATGTGTCATAGTTGATTAAAAGTATACGAGACAGAAGGTTGTTGACAGACTTGGTTATCAAGACCACACGACATGGACTATAAGAAGAAGAAGAATGTTATTTTCAAATTAAACATATGCAAGTAAAAGTTGGAGAATCATTAAAGATATAGAATACAAGCTAACTGTATTCCGAACGAAGGCCTGCTCAAAACGATGGCTGAATGCAAGAAAAGAGAATAAATAAAACAAATGTCTGAACAACCACTATTTTTAACAGTTATAAGACATCGATGAGGGCACTATATTTATACATTCTGTGAAGAGACAAACAAAGAATCAATAAAATGGAAATGAAATGCGTATTAGAGGATTGAGAGAAGGAAAAAAAATACCTACAAGAGAAACCCTAAGGAGAACGTTGATAAGAGAAGCCAAAGGTACTGGACTTCCTTCCCTCCATGATATCGATGCTTGCACAGAATAGATCGTAATGGAAAAACAGATTGTGAGCCCTATGTGACACATAATGACCGAAAATGACAATGTGTGAATCTGGTAGGTTTTAACTTCAACGTTTTATAACTGAAGGAATTGAATTAGCGGTTATAGCGATGGCGAGCAGGACCGTATGACGCATCGTGATTTCAATTCTCATCGGAGATTGGATTAAACACAAAACAATCTCGCCAAAATTTTCATTTGCACATGACTAAATTTTTAACAGCAGAAACAGGGCAGAACACAAACCATCTTAATCAATTAACACCAAGAGCAAGAAATCTAATGTTAAAAACAAAAGCATAGAAAATATAGAGACAGTGTTGAAAGATAGGCAAACAGACACAATATCAATAAAAGTTAAGGACAGAAAAAAAAAAAAAAAAAAAAGCAACGGCTTTCAAATATCTAGGCTGAATTTCTACATTATAAGCAAGAATAAACAGAGATTTTAAAATATGATGTGCTAAAGAAAACTAGATACTGCGACAATTAACTTCACTGTTTAGATCTAGAAGTGTACTTTTTGTCTAAAATGGCTGAAAAGAAAAAACTATTCTTGGCAAAAGACATGCTACCGGGTCAAACTCTGGCTCTTGGGCAAATTTAAAAATGCACAATCATAATTCACATAAGCTTAGAGAATCATATATATATATATATATATATATATATATATATATATATATATATATATATATATGTGTGTGTGTGTGTGTGTAGGTAATAGAAAGACAATTAGGTGGGTAAATAGGTAGTTAATTAGGAAGACATGTCGATTGGCAGATAATAGGTAGGTAATTAAGAAGACAGTTAGGTAGGTAGATAAGTAGATAAGAAATTAGTAAGACATTTCGGTAGATAGAAAAGTAGGTAGGTAATTAGGAAGAGCATTGGGTAGGTAGATATGTAGATGAGTAATTAGGAAGACATTTGGGTAGGTAGATAATTAGGTAGGTAATTAGGAAGACCGTTGGTTAGGTAGATAAGTAGGTAGGTAGTTAAAAAGACAGTTGTATAGGTAGATAAGTAGGTAGTAATGAGGAAGACAGTTAGGTAGGTAGAAAAGTACGTAGGTAATTAGGAAGCAAGTTGGTTAAGTAGATAAGTAGGTAGGTAATTAGGAAGACAGTTAGATATGTAGATAAGTAGGTTGTGATTAGGAAGACAGTTGGGTAGGTAGATAAGTAGGTAGGTAATACGTTACCAAAAGGTAGCTGACAGCCTCTGCCTCGCTAATCTTGTTGTCACTATCTTCATCCAGAAGTTTGAAGAGGTCTTCCTCCAGATTGGCTGGTGGAGCGGCAATGATCAGGGCAGGCAGGACGAGCAGTAGAGCGAAGACGAGCATGGTTCTGTCAAACAAAGGTTTTATGTAACAATCAATGCAGTTTTTAGACTACATCAATATCATCTGTGTGAAGTTTCAACAGCTCAACGTTTAGAACAGACCCATACTGTTCAGGACGTGCAGGAGTGCGAGGCAATAAAAGTGCGGATAATTTTGATACAAAAACAACGATAGCTACAGAAACACTGAAACTGGACAAATGAGATACTCCGCTAACCATTTATGAACGAATGTTGAACATACGAGGTTAGATAAATCACCAGAAACAAGAATGTGTAAACGTACAATTATGAGTGAGACGAGTGAGATGGGGATAACAGTCATGTTGAATCAGTGTGCTACGGGAACAGTTAGCATCTAATCTCAAGACATTTGCTGCGGGAGACAGAGCATCTATGGGTATGGCTGGTGAAGTGTGATACCCACTACTTAATCATAATTAGTGAGTTTTTAGCGGAGAAGCTCATTGTGAAAGATCCCAGCCTTATCCCAGGAAGAGGAAATGCCACCTGGAAACTTTATGTTATGGCAGGACAGACCAGGCCCTTTGCTGGATTGAAGCTCTGACGGGCGGACAGATAGATCACTGCTGTTTTGATACGGCAGCTTCTGCAGCTTGCTTTGTTCCAAAGTACAGTACTAGTGTGATGTATTCTTATGGTTCATGGAAAAGAAATGGTCTCTGCAATACTGCCACGACTTTATGGCATGAATAGGACCTTTTCTTAACGCTAGTCACACTCGCCATTGCCATTGACTCTTAGTCCTATGCCTCCTCATACCGCAATATAACACTATCGTTTGGAAAGACGGAAATGTGCCAATTAATAGGTGAGTGAAATTACTCTAGTGCTGCTACTGCTACAGTATACAAGTATTGTTTCTTTAATTTACTTTATAGGGCGTACTCACCTGATTCTGGGATGTCTTGAAGACTTGGTCACAAGAAGCTGGTGGATTTGTGTAGGCCGAGTCTAAAATCCACAGGGCTTATATAGTTTCTGGAAATCTGCTTACGTGCATATTTTTTGCATATCAGCAATTCTGTTAAAGCAGGGCAAAAATATAGTTTATCTTTTTGCTGCAATGACATTTTAATTTAATTACAGTTGTGAAGAAACACGGAAAAAAATTTCTTCTCGAATTTCAAGATAAGATACTGTCACAAAAGGACATACTTTTAACTCATTAGTTTTATTACCACGAAATTAGAAGAATGCTGGGAATAAAGCCAGTCTTACAGGTCATCAAAGAACAACAAATGAAGTGGTTTGGACACCTAACAAGAATGCCCTAGTACTATTTGCTACAGCGAGCCACACTAAAACGTTACAAATAGTTGCGCATGTGAGTGGACGACCTCGGAAAATACTGAAAGTAATGACTGCATTAAGAACAGACCGGACAGAATATGAACATCAGTTCTGATTAGTGCTCTTGACAGCGCCCATCAATGAACATTACATCTCACCCAAAACTTGTAGAAATTAAGTTACCCGACGACATAATTTTAGAAAAAAAGAAAGACGGGGGAAAAGCAAGGAGAAAACTAAAATGCGTCACTATGGGGGAAAAAAAAAAGCCAATCCCAGAGGAAGGAGAAAGATTACGCAGCTGAAATAACTCAAAACGTAATGAAAACAATTACAAAACAAGAAAATGAAAAAGAAGAATAAGAATAATAATTATTTTTAGAGGAGGAAGAGGAAAGAGAAAAAGAAGAAAAAGAAGAAGAGGAAGACAAGAAAGAAGCAGAAGAAGAGTAAGAAAAAGAAAAAGAAGAAGAAGACTTAGAAGAAAGAAGAAGAAGAAGAAGAAGAAGAAGAAGAAGAAAAAAGAAGAAGAAGAACAAAAAACAAAAACAAGAACAAGAACAAGAAAAAAGAACAAGAAGAACAAGAACAAGAACAAGAACAGAAAAAAAAAAAAAAAAAAAAAAAAGAAGAAAGAAAAGAAGAAAAAAGAAAAGAAGAAGAAG